CTTCATTGTATTTTTATCATCAACTTATGAAATTATGAGAATAAAACGGGTACATACCTTTCATTAAAGACCTTGTTATACATTGTTGGGCAAAATGAAGTTTCTAACAACTCCTGACGCAAAATCAAAGCGACTCAGAAGAAACCAATTTGAGCAAATGCTCACAGTCAAAGACCTTTGATTATGTGACATTAAGTTGACCTATGATTGAACTGTTCCGAAAAGGGATGGAATTGTGCCTCACATACTCAGGTTCGCAAGCCACGCGTAACAAGAACGGTAGAAGAGATAGGAGGATTCCAAGATAAATCATGAAGGAAACATGTTCTTAATGTAAATAACATACACTTCAGAGAAGCATAATCACTCCAGAGCACATAGGTTGATGGCAAGATATAGAGCGAATAAATTTTGGTCGAAGTTCAGTGACAGTCGCATGTGAAGGCCGAAGCTCATATTCCAGTAATTTTTAAACTTTAGTCACGAGCATGCATTCTGTGATGTAAATGCTGCTTCCTCTTTAGAGTTTGGCACAATTTCGGTGTAATTTCGTTAACGTAATTTACCTGAATTACATCTATCGCTTAGGTCAGGTACTGACATAAACATGACGACATAACCTCACTTAAAAATTTGTCACATATTCGTTCAATAAAATAAAGATACCACTTGAACATTTTAAGAGAAACTAAGGTAATAGTATATCGGGCTCCAGTAGAACACGTGAGACGTAATAATATGAATATGTAAATATAGTAGTTAGCATCTACAAAGAATTAAACTCTTATCCAAATTAGGTAAATCTATTCACAACTAGTTAAAGAGGTTGGTAACGACCGACCAGAAATCACTTGAGATTTTTAAGAAACCAATGAAGTAGTGTATCGGGATAAAAGTGGGCGTAATAATATAAGTGTGTAACATTAGTTAGGATCTAAAATGAATTGAACTTTTAAATTAAATCTGTTCATTATTCACAAATAAATACAGTAGATGGAGGTTGATAACAACGACAGGAATTTCGTTCCCGAAACTCGGACGAACCTGAACAGAATGAACCAATGGCGTTGAACCATTATATTACTGGTTTTTTTCTAAATTCAAAAATTTTAGCTAAAATTTTGAAGGATGTAAGCGGATGCTGGATTATCCGTGAGATAAAGCGCTTTTTTATGTGGCAAAATGAAATCCTCACATCTTCACGGAGTGCCCTTTATATAGGCTCCATTACAATCTGCGGCCGGGTAAGCGAGAAATCTGTTGTTAAAGATGGTCATGACGGGCAGTTTAGTCGTATTTTCCGTAATTTCTCTTTTGGTTCACTAGGAATGTTACAAAACTGTAAAAACCCATGGACACGGTAATATGACGATTCTTTAGGTACCCACTTTTATGGGTCTAAGGTTTACCGTTATCGCGGAGTTTGAGTGACTTTCTCAGGACCCTGGATTCTTAAAATTCAAATTTCCCGGCAAAGTAAAAAGTAAAATTTTCCTCGTTTTGGGTCATTAAGTGCTTATAACTTTTTGAAAACTCAATGGATCTTAATGAAACTCTTCCACTTTGTAGTTCTAATTGAGATGCGTCCGTAGAAACCAAGATCGTAGGAATCCGAGCCGTCGTTTGGGCTGCAGTCGAGTTCCAACCGAATCAATTTTCAAGTTAAGGGAGTTGCCTGTGACTAAGAGTGTCGGCCACCCGTTTGTTATCGGGACTTTAGTAGGACGTCATTTTCCTCGACCGGGGGTGGCTACCGCCACTCTTGATCTTACTGCGCACGCTACCGGATCCTTGCTTTTCGCGTGATGGCAGTCCGTTGTACAGGGTGTTTCAGACCACCCGTACCAGGCCTTTTTCTCGGTTGTTTTAGGTCGTACGAAGTCGCGGACCGCGGGGTTGAATAGGGAATTGACCCCAAGGAATCCGAATTTCGTGGTCCCGAGACCCCCCCCCACCCCCCTTGGGGGGTAAAGGGGGGTCACGATGCTAAAAGTCACGGTTCCCGACCGAATTGCGGATTAATCGCATCAGAATTGAAAAGCACGGAAAATTTCACGTGAAATTGACCCCTTAAAATCCATAATCGGCCCAGCCAAGGCCTATAAATGACCCGATAAAGAGGGGGACAGCACCCCCTCCATAATTTCTGTTTGGTCTCAAAATTGACGTAGATTCTCCAGAAAAAAATGGTTCCCCGGGTAATCGACCCCGAGAAATCCAAATTTCATGGTCCCGAAGCTCCTCTAGCCCCCCTTGGGGGATAAACGGGGGGCCGAATTTTAAAAATCGGGGCTCCTTTCCGAATCGCAAATTGATTGCATCCAAATTGAGGAGCAGAACACTTTTACATCTTTAGTGACCCCCAAGAGTTTTAATTGACCCCCTTTGAACGGCAAAAAGTAACCCCTGAGGAGGGAGGCTTCGCCCCCTCCAAAAGTTTCTCAAGATTCCTCTTTGGTTACAAAATTGACGTCGATTCTCCAGAAAAAGACGGTTTTCCAGGTAATCGACCCTGAGGACTCTGAATTTCATGGTCCCTAAGCTCCGCTACTCGCCCTTTTGGACAGAAACCGTCTTTTTCTGGAGAATCGACGTCAATTTTGCGACCAAAGAGAAATCTTGAGAAACTTTTGGAGGGGGCGAAACCTCCCTCCTCAGAGGTTACTTTTTGCCGTTCAAAGGGGGTGAATTAAAACTCTTGGGGGTCACTAAAGATGTAAAAGTGTTCTGCTCCTCAATTTGGATGCAATCAATTTGCGATTCGGAAAGGAGCCCCGATTTTTAAAATTTGGCCCCCCATTTATCCCCCAAGGGGGGCTAGAGGAGCTTCGGGACCATGAAATTTGGATTTCTCGGGGTCGATTACCCGGGGAACCATCTTTTTCTGGAGAATCTACGTCAATTTTGAGACCAAACAGAAATTATGGAGGGGGTACTGTCCCCCTCTTTATCGAGTCATTTATAGGCCTTGGCTGGGCCGATTATGGATTTTAAGGGGTCAATTTCACGTGAAATTTTCCGTGCTTTTCAATTCTGATGCGATTAATCCGCAATTCGGTCGGGAACCGTGACTTTTAGCATCGTGACTCCCCTTTACCCCCCAAGGGGGGGGGGGGGGGGTCTCGGGACCACGAAATTCGGATTCCTTGGGGTCAATTCCCTATTCAACCCCGCGGTCCGCGACTTCGTACGACCTAAAGCAACCGAGAAAAAGGCCTGGTACGGGTGGTCTGAAACACCCTGTATAGTAGATCCAGGCATTAGCAATAAAACATGTGGCGGTCTTTAGCATTGCATATAAATGGACATGTTTACGCTACAAGTTTATGCTGCAAATGGCAGATCTACTATACAACGGACTGTCATCACGCGAAAAGCAAGGATCCGGTAGCGCGCGCAGTAAGATCAAGGTTTACATGCATCTCGTAGTGAGGAGGGGGGGGGGGGGCAGTGACTCCTGCTGCATATGTCATAATATCAGAAGCAGTAATTAATGAATTAAGAAGGAATATTTTGGACTTCCAAAGTAATAGGGAATTTTCAAGCAGTTTCAGAAACTGTGAGAAAGGCAAAGCAAAGCCTGATGCCCCCCTCCCCCTTCACCTGAACAGTCAAAATGTCAATTATGTAATCTGAAATGCTCTTCAGAATTACTCATTGACGACTGTAGAAAAAACAACGTTAAAACAAAAAAAAAAAAAAAAATATCCCCCTGAAAATCCGAAGTTTTCGAAAATTTGGCTCTGAGGGCTCATTTTAGGCCCCCAAAATTCACCATATGGTTAAAATTGGTAATTTAAGTAATTAGAGGCTTAAAATATGCATGTTTAAGAAATTTGGGCATTATATCCAGGAAGAAAAAAAAATTTTAAATAATATGACGGGCTTTGCTATGGGTAATTTCGCTATTTTAGCCCAAAAATACCTTTAAATTGATTTTATTTTCCAGGAGCTCGACAGAATTTTTTTCTTTTTGGCTTAAATGACTCAGTAGACACTCTACTTCAAGAAACTGAAGAGTTTTTGCCTGTGACTTGTCAAAAAATTTAAACTCGTTCCGACGAACCTTCCGAAAAGCAGACCGTTCCAAGAAAATACGGTTCCTTCAGCCCCTGCGATTTTTCGGAATTTTTCCATTCCTCAGTTTTAACTTTAAAAATACTCTATTTTACTTACAGAAAGCACCTAATGAAATTGCTTTCATAGAATTTGTTGAGCTACTGGACGTCACTGAAGATCCTTAAAAGAATTTGCAATGGACACTAATGAAGCTGGCCAATTTAAATAAATAAATAAATAAAATAAAAAAAAATTGTATTCTTGATACCATTGAAAAAATGGTTTTAACGTGTAAAGATTATTTTTTTGAGAAACTCTAGGTTCAAATCCAGATTCAAGACATCAAAATCAGGGGATAGACATGAGTTCGATGTTTTAACACCAGAATGGGAAGCCGCAATTGTTTTTTCAGCAATAAAAAGTGAATTAAGACCAAAGTGTGCTGTGGTGGAAGTATAGCCAAGGCGTCGACTTGAGTTAATAAGCGGCTGCCTCCGTTTGAGTTAAGATCAGACGAACTTATTCCAAATCTGGGTCATTTGGTAATACATATATCGAATACAAGAGAACCAGGTAAAGAGTTCAGAATCAATGGACTTGAACACATAGCCTGGATGACGCGCGCCAAGTGCATTTAGAGGAAACCCAAAACAAAGGGAAAGGGTATTTATACCTGTATCTCAAACCGATCATCGCCTGGTTCGCTCCTCGATCGCGAACCGTGTACCGATGCGAAAAATCGTATTGAATACAGGCTGAGGGAAAAGAACTCGGTACTTTCCCGAGCAACTTCAATCCCCCGTTGTTCCCTTGAAAATTGTGAAAAACATCCGTGAGCACACTAAACCCACAACGTAAGTAATGCCTAATTGTTGGAAGTCTTAGGAATTTTTCTAAATAACATGCAACACAGCAATGAAATACTGAAATCCATTTCTCACCTTTTTCTGAGGTTAATTTGGTCATATCTAATGTCTTACTGAGCACTTTGATGGCCAATTGCTGTGCACTTTCTAGGGTCATTTCTCCTTCTTTGTAATCTTGTTTCAAATTTGAAACAGCAGCCTGAAATAAACACCATCCGTTGAACATAGGTGCATTGAATTTGAGAATTGAGGAACAATTTAGTGGGCAGTGATCCTCAGAAACATAAAAATTTTTGGAGAGAAACTGTGCAAACTTATATTTACTTTTAGGCTTAGGGTTAAAATTTCGTTCTAGATCACCCTGAGACGCATAGACAGATGATTTCCAAAACGTGTTGTAATTGCTAGTTGTAGCGAAATACAACGGGCAAACAGGGTTTTTGCGTGTATTATAATCAATCAACCTGTTTTTAGGTAAGGAGAAAAAACATTCAGTTGTTTTCCTAAAATGAAAGGTACTGCGCTGGTTGATTATGGCTAGTGAATGGAAGGATATGAATGATAATAGGTGCTGAATTTCTTCATCTCACAAGCACCATAATATAGGACCATCCTAATGAGAATTTCCTCTTTGATGGCATGTCATTGCGGATAAGTAAGGTAGGGAGAGACAAAAATGTGGGTAAAAACCTTTAAAAGGCAAAGGCAGTTTTTTTTGTTACTTCTTTTTAATCAGACCTCTGTAATTGACATAATTTTTGTTAATAATAGTGCATTTCACCTATTCAACAAATCGATAGCTAACGAACAAAACCGCTCATGGACGACTAGACACGGTAAGACTTAAAGCAATCTGATACATGTTTCTTAACCAGAATTTCACGTCGAACACGATTCGCACAACGAAAATTACTGAAACCAACTCCTAACGAAGATACATAAAAACGTTTTTATTTTACATTGGTTACGAGGAATTTGAACTACCCGCTCACAAGAAACTCAAAGCTCTACATGAGTCAAATCGTGCACTACAACGGTTTCAGCAAACTTCTCAATCGAGCAATGTTCATTTCCCACCATGTGTTGTTACTAGCAATTCGCTGTAGCTGAGCCAAAACGTCCAGATTGAGGTTGCCAGATTTTTATATCGCAGAGACTATCATGATAACGTTTAACGCGCGATGTGAATCACGTAGAGCATTGTGTTTTCATGAGTGGTTGGTTTGAATTCACGCATCAGGAATCATTAAATATCTTCGTAGGGAGTCAATTTCGGCAATTTTTATCGTGCGCATCGTGCTCTACATGAAATTTTTGTTACGAAACATGTATCAGAATGCTGAAATTCGTACCTTGTCTAGTGGTCCATAGCAATAGCAAACTGACGATTATGCAGAACGAAGGGAAAACTTCGTCATTTTTGAAACATTAAGGTTAGATTTGCGATTTTTTCATACAATACAGCGTCATTCAAACAATTTCCTATAGAATTAGAACAGACTAAAACCATCAACTTACGTATTTTACACTGTACAATGCAGGAAATTCGCTAAACCTTTTTCGCCAAAATTGTCAGTTAGGCGGTATTGTTCACTAGCCCTCAAAATGTAAGTACCACCAACATTACAATTAATATGAGGTCTTTCTAATCCCGCCTTATCTGTTGAGAAAGATACATACCGCACTATTGTTTCCAATACACGTTGCTTTCCACCCCCCATAATTTCCACTGGGATCAGACTGGTAGAGTTGAAATCCATAATGTTTATCCCATCCCATGTATATTATTGACACACCAAACGGTCTTTTACCTGTAACAATGAATAACGTTCAATTTCGATTATTATCAGTGGCATCTTGGTATGCAATTTTCAGAGGAGAATTGAAAATGGAACACTCTTTATGAAAAGGTTACTTCAATTAACTATATAACGAGAAACAACTGGTTGCATTGAGTATGTTACATGGAAGAATGGAGGAATTGAAGAATGATATGATGTGGAGTGACGAAAATATTTATTCTGTAAGGGGTACACATGGAAAGTAAGCTAGGAAATAAGTATATTCACACAGGACTGACAGGTAGGGATGTCACGCAGCATTGCATTTGGACGGTCACACAGGAAGTGTTCTTTTGTGTCCGGCGCGAGAGTAGCTTTGGCCTAATGGTGAGGTTGCCACATATTTCACAGGTTGGTATTTGAAAAATGCATATTTTTTCCAGAAAATCGTGATTTCGGGAAACGTAGTGAGATACAGCTGTACCTGAATGTTAGTGTATCTAAAAGTCACACATCGCCGGGAAGGTCTGAGACAGTAGGGTTGGGCTTGTTTTGACCTACGTATTCGTGGCAAAATAGAGCTAGGTCCACACATTCTCTAAGACCTGGGCTCCTTAAGACAGTTACAATCGGTTGTAATGGTATCCCGTTGTTAAGTGTTTTTATCAAACCATAAGTTTGATGTGGAATTGCATTTAGAACAATCAAACTTTGCAACGTGGCTTTGCTGATCAGCTAGTCCTCCAAGCATTTTTCAACGACAGCATCGTTTATATTTTGGAGTGCAAACGTTAAACATTTACTGATTTTTGTGGAAATTTCGAAATCTGATAATAACTGCTAAGAAAAGAAATAAGGTGGTCATATTTCGGGCATCTTGGATTTTGTCCGAGATGTAGGTCAGTAGGGACGGTTCTACCATCGATTTTCTTGGAAATGGTGTCGTATAATAAATAAATAATAAAAACAAGCGGGAAAGCTCTAATACCAGGGTATTAGAGAAGCGCTCAGCGGTGAGCGCAATTTTAATGAGTCTCAGCTTTAATTTACTACCTATTAACTGAGTATGTTTAAATTAGCAATAATAAAATTAAGTAATTCTTAATATATTAATAAAACATCTAAAATGATGCTTTGCCCCCCCCTCCCCCAACCAAAAAAAAATTCCAAGATCCAAAAGAAAAAATAATGATCCATTACATAAGTATTGAAATATGAATACATTTGGAATCCTGGATTTCTCATAAAAACAGAAAAAACTATTACCGCTCCAAAAAAATAACTTTTCTAGAACACTTAAAGAAAATGTATCAAAGATGAACGTATCACTTCACGAAGCCAAATTAGTTGTTTTAATGCTGCCCTACTATGACAAGTAAAAAATACTATCGGTAAATAAATGAGAGAAATATAAATATTAATAGGTAAATGATGAGGCAAAAAACGAAATCAATCAACTACAACTGAGTACTGAAGGTAACTTTTCGCGAATCGAAGGCACCAGGTGTCGGGTTGGGTGGCCGGCCACTAGGTTGCAGTACACTGTGCTAAAACCTTCTAATGATCCATGATCAGAGACAGCCTCTCCTTTGATTATTCTCATGATAACAGGATAAAAATAATCTAATACGTAAATAGAGAAAGAGAATTCCTACAATACCAGAATTATATTCAGGGTAAACGGAAATTACATTCATTTTTTTCCTCCTCATATTATCTTGAGCCATAGTAAAAAATCTTTTTCATTTTCCTTCAGCAGTTTTCCTTCTAGCGGCAAATTGTTAATTGTGTTCTCCTGAAACCCTAGCTTACATTTAGTAGATTTGTAATTTCTCATATATTTTAGGAATTTAAATGCGTTTACAGTAATTTCAGGCGAACCAAAGGCAGAAGTTGCCTTTACGCCTTAATTTATTAAGGTAACTTATGTTCTGTGTAATTAATAAACCATGTTGGCCCAAATATCTGAAACCCTCTGCTGTGATAACATTCGAATCAGTCACTGTAACAGGGACATTAATATCTTCAACATGTCTTCAATGTAATCTGTGAGTATATAGTAGGTATAATCGGGTGAGTTGGTTTATCGTAACAAGTCAACGGAGAAACTACGAGACCGCGTATCTCGTTTGCGGTGCTTAAAAATCTCCATTCCCATATTATTCTTTTGACAGAGAACAAATCAATTTTGCCCCTTGGTTTTCACAGAGTTTTATTCGCACAAAGAAGAAAAATTGCAGAAGTTTTTAAAAACTGACGTTGGTTGGTTTTCCGTGTAAAGAAGAAAGTATGAAAGGTAGTCTACTACGTTGCTAACCGAGATACAAGGTCTGGTAGTTTCACCGTCGAACTGTATTATACAGAAATTACTTTGTGAGTATGGAGCTGGTCACTAGAATTACAATGCATAAATATGTAGGATAAAGGTGACTGCAACAGTATTTGTCATGAATGTTTCATGACACCTGCAGAAAAGATCGGTGGTTCCTGAGTGATGATAAAGGACTCAAGGGTGGGTAGGTTTCGTTGAAACGCATAATTCTCATATGTACCTGTTGAGGCATGGATTTTTGGCCTGCTGAGGAGTTGAGCAAATAAGAAACCATTACTCATAAGCTGATAAAGTTAGGAGGAAACACGATTAAACTGTAGAACTTCTGATACTTTGAGAATGTAAACAAAGACTCAACCTTACAAAACTTTCACGATAATATTATGAACTCAATTTCCAAAAAGTCTCTGTGGTTCATGAATTTTTTAATCAAAGGTATAGGTTCTCTAACTGGATGAGAGATGGCCGTAGTGATCATTTGACGAAATGGGTTTTCTACTTTAAACTATCTAATCTCCAATTTCTGTCAAGGAAACTTTTCCTGCTACTAATGAAGAATTATTTTTTTAGGAACTCACTGGAAAAATACAAGGACGTTCATTCCTATATTTTTTACCTTTTCTCACCTACCTTTAAAATTTAACTCTGTCATAAAACTGTCAACTTAAATCTTTTAGATTTTCTTATCCACTTGTAATACGAAATTCTGTATCTTGGGTCAAGGATTGTTGAATCGATCAAGTGGTATCTTCCATCTAGTGTCACCGGCAGGGATACCGAACTGATCAAGGTATCAAAAGTTACAGAATCAGGTTGCAGAAATGAAAACTTCCTCATATACATGAAACTTGCAATCTCAATAGCTATTCCCTCTAAGCCATTTTACCTATTCATGGAATCAACTACATGTAGGACCCCGTTTATTAGACGGCGCGACGCATGAAAGGATGCCAGATGAAAGCAGTATCTATTGTTACTGTAAGTCATAAAATCAGGTTGTAGGTATGAAAGCTTCCTCATATATGGAGGTGATGTAACTTTCAACCTCATCTCCTACATCGTCTGGTTGAACATTTATTACAAGGTTATTTACCTTCTTTACTGAAAATTAGCCAACAGGTCAAATGAAATTTTGCACTCATTGAGCGTTCAAATGCCAGAAGTTAAGTCTGCGGAGATAGCACATAAAGTGTCACGCAATGAATCTTACAATCTGACGGAACCAAATTCACCAGAGAGTGATTGAATAAATGAGTCATGAAACCTAGAATTTTTAGTACAATTAAGAGGCTAACACATACCTTTGTTATGGAGCAATGTGAGAGGGAGAATGTAGTAGTTTAAGAGTAGAGTGTTATAGGGAAGATTTATGAAACTGTTGGTGCTGCAAAAAATCTTAGACTTTGAAAGTACACAATTTTCTGCTACTTCAGATATCTTAGATTTTTTGACACCTAGTTAAACTCAATAATCAGAAGTTGTGAACTACTAAGGATGTGATGACGACATCGCTTTGAGAATAACAGATATTCTATGATCAATGATACACTTGAGCGGTCCTTTTCATAATTTGCAGCGATGAGGTGGTGACAATCAAGAAGGTACAAATCGCTGCGCTTGAACTGCGCAAAATGATCCTGTCATTTTTCTATGCTTTTCAGCATGAGAATGCAAACCGTGTTGTAATTGGTGCTTGGGCACAACTATAGACACTTTCAAACTCTTAAATTTCACAACACAAACTTTACACGGCTGATGGCTGAAGGACGAAAGATGAAAACAAAGGAGTAGGCGAGACGCGAGAAGCAAATGCGGGAGAGTGGTGTCGTCGTCATCTGAATCATGGCAGTACCTACAGAAAATGAGCATTGATCTTATTACGCCAGAAGAGTGCCAGCGAGGCCAAAACTCATGAACCAATCAGAGAGGGGCAAAAGGATGGCAATACTCTCCAGTACTTGGGTGAAAGACACATAACCTAGATGTAGGCGAATTCTACTAAGCTCCGAATAAAGTTATCACCGGTTGTAAAGTTGTCGGGAAAAAAAACGCGGATCCTGCACTTTCAGAGATAATTGCAGGATAACTATAAACCGAAAAGCGAAGAGTTTTAGGACTGTTATTTATTTCTCACGCTAATTTGTATTCAATCATATTCACAGAGGTATTATCAAGTAATAAAAAAAAAAAATGTTTTAAAAATGGTGTTCCGGGGATCGATGAGTCGCCATTTGACTGCAGGAGCGCTCTACTGTACTAGAGCTCTAGTGGCTAGTCGAAAGCAATAAGCGCCGCCTATCGGCTGAGCGCTTAATAAGATAAAATGAAGAAAAATAAACTTCTTCAAAGATTAGTACCATGACAAGGCAAGGAAGCTTACGCATTATTTTTCATGCAATGCAAAAACATACAATGCTACAAAATATAATGTACAATAAAATTCTGTGAACAATATAGTCTGACATACAACAATAATTTTAAAAAAATTAAGTCCACGGATTCATCCAGGATCGGAACTCTACATAAAATCAACAGTTTTACTTCATTTTTAAAAAGTTTGACAGTGGGTCTTAATTTATCCACCAATTCCCCCATTTTGGACCACTGTGCGATGAAAATTTGTGAAAATGAACACAAGTTATTGCATTGAGGACCGATAAGAACATTGTTAGCCATGAACTCTGCAGGAGACTTACAA